CAAAATTCATCTTTAACAGTCGTTAAAGCCACTGCATTTTCCCTACATGCGTTTTCATTTCAAGTAGGACAATAACATCCGGGTAGTGCTGTCGGTGAAGTTGCAACCGTTGTCTAACAGTAATAGGATTACCCACCCATTAACAATTCCAAATGAAGAACCGTATAGGGGGTATGGTGCAATACAGGAAATAGCAGACCCGCAATGAGGAGGAACATCGACCAATTTCATGCCTAAAGAAGAAGCGTGACCAGTATTGGGGTGAGTCGGAGGACCAAATAAATCAATACTCTAGGCAGGAGAATGAAATTGGACTCTTTCGAACAAACCCAATTCACCATGTGCCAAAGCACTAAATCTCCCTACTGGGCTGTTGTCAATAGTTGCACTCGGCCCATTAGAAGAGGCCCACCATGTACCAGAGGTCAAGCCCACAACTGTTGCCCTAGCAGTATCCTTCAACCTCATCGTCGCCTTATAGCCTCAAGGAACAGGCGACATCGCCATGATGGCACCACCAACCAACCCAATAACCAAAAGAAAAAAAATACAAAAAAAAAAGGGAAGCCAAGACTCAACCACACAACTAAACTAAAGCAAAGAATCAAAATTAATGAACAGCGGCGCCGACAAAAAGAAACCCACAGGATCTTATTTGAAACAAACCCCACACACACCACCAACCATAATTGGAGGCAGCCGCAAAAACCAAGGCCCAAAAGTAACCCTGAATCACCACCTAAGAACAAATCTTGCTAAGGCAGCTCACTTTCTGTCAGACGACGAACAACTATACAACACCCACACTCAGCAACACCACCTTTTTCCCCCTCACATGCCAAATTGATGAACAATATGAGGACCAAGGATGGTTACCCAAACCCAAAAAAACAATAATCCCCCAAATCGGCACACGAAACAACAGAGGCTAACAAAGGGAAACGAATAACATCCAAACCAGGGAACAAAAAGGAATAGAAGGAAGAGAAAAAGAAAAGGAAATGGGCTGAGAGACAAGCTCCCAACAATTCACTGCGACCAACAGAGAAACTCTCCAAAATGAAGAGAAGCTCCTATGAAAAGGAGAAAAAATGTTCTTTCTAGAATTTGATCAATTTTGTTAAAGTAAAAAAAAAAAATCCATTGTTACATTGATTTGCAATTAAATCGTCCCATAATAAGAAATACTCACATTTACGTGCATTACACACGTGAAACTTCTAAAACTCTAACAAGTTGACTTTGAACTTTTAAAGAAGTTTTACATTTTAATTTATATTAAATTACAATAAAGGAAAGGAGAATATTTTTAAATGCTAAATCCAAAAATGTCTCTCGTCGTGGCAGCACTGGTACCTTTATGGGCCTCTATTGATAGAGCTGAATTGGTTTCTCAAGAAATCTGGAACAGTCTTTAAAAAGAATGTTGCCTGTCCTATTGTTGTGTCATCGCCTTCGCCTGTCTTACAACTGATTGCAAAGTTCTCACAGTTGTTGGTAACGACGTGGTAATGATTGCAAAGTTCTCACAGAATTTGCCACTAAATGAAGCAAATCCTGGCCCTTGCCCTATTGGAGCATCAGAGTCAACCACCAGTCCTAAAATGAAACTGGAAGATTAGCTAAAAAATCAAATCGGAACGGTGATAATTTCCATAACCGGAGGGAATGAGGGCACTGAAACAATAAATGCTCAATAGATTCCTCAGCAATACCACGCCAAGGACACACTGGGTCCACCACCATACCATGCAATAGGAGTAGGCGACGAACTAGAAGAGCCGACGAACAACACTTCCACAGAAAGTGCTGAATTTTGGGGGGAACTTTACATTTCCATAAATGATACCAACTAGGGTTCGGTGAAGAAACAGAGGAAGAACTGTCAGGAGATGTGGACGCACCATCCCGAGCCATACGAGTAGCTAACCGATAGGACGATTTGATTGAAAACCTACCATTAGCCTCACCTTCCTATTCCAATGTATCAAAAACTGAAGCTCTAAGTAAGAATAACAGAAACAATGGACGGAGGGAATAAAGAGTTAAGCAAGTCCACAATCTAACCAGTCCCTGTAGAATTAAAAAGCTCATGCACCAAAGTCGGAGTCACCCTAAAAGTAGGCCATGAGAGTTTTCCAGATAGCCTAGGGACCTAGCGATCCTTCCAGATATTAATAAATTGACCGTTACCCACCACCCACCTGGATCCAGCACCCAGAAGAAACTATGTAGACCAAATACTACGCCAGGCCCACAAAAGATTAGATCCCAATGAAAGGAGCAATTCCAAAAATATTTAGCTTTAAATACTTTAAAAGCTAACCCCTGAGGGTAAACTTAAAAATTCCACCCCTACTTGGCCAGCAAAGCAACATTATATGCCCCAAAATTATGAAAACCTAACCCCCCTTCCTCCTTAGCATGGCACAAAATACCCCATATATCCCAATTAACAAGAGTAGACTCACCATCTTTACCCCACCAAAAGCCACGAATAATCTTCATCATGGAATTACAGAGCTTACAGAGCAACTGAAAGCAAGACATCACATAGGTTGGTAAGGTATTTAAAACTGCTTTAATTAAAACTTCATTACCTGCCTGAGATAAAAGCAAGGACTTCCAGTTAGCCAAATGGGAAGCAAGTCTCTCCTAAATATAATGGAAAACATCCCATTTAGACCGACCAATAATTACAGGTATACCCAAATATTTCACACACAGACCTTCATCCTGAATTCCCAGCAGCTGATCCAAACTAGCCCGATCCTCTGTACTTGTATTGGTAGAGAAAAATATAGAGGATTTAGAAAAAATTATCTGCTGCCCATAAGCCTATTCATATTGCTGTAATAGATTTTGAAAAAAAACAATCTCAGAGGTAGAAGCCTGACAGAAAACAATGGAATCATCTGCAAAAATCAAATGTGAAATACGAGGCGCGTGGGGCAGATACGAATTCTAGAGAGGACACTATGTTGCATAGCAATCTGTAAAGACATGGATAAAGCTTTAGCACACAAAATAAATAAATACGGAGATAAAGGAACCCCATGTCTCAGAACCCATGTAGGTTGGAACAGCCCAACTGGCTGACCATTAATCATAACTGAGTATGACACCATGGAGATACAGGCATGGATAATCTTAATCCAATACGAAAGAAAACCAAATTTAGAAAGCATGGCCAGCAAAAAGGGCAATTCAATTCGATCATAGGCCTTACTCATATCTAATTTCAAGGCCATAAAAGACTTTTCTTACGTTTATTTTTAAGATAATGTAATATTTCATGGGTAATCGGTATACTATCCGTAATATGACGTTTCGGAACAAAAGCACTTTGGGACTCACTAACTACCAAAGGAATAACTTATCGAAGTCTATTAGCAAAAACCTTTGCCACTATTTGATAAGTAACATTACATAAGGAAATGAGCATATAATGAGACACAAGAGTCAGAGAGGCAATTTTTGGAATGAAACAATATTTGTATGATTCATACTAGTTAAAAAATGGCCAGAATGCATGAAACTACATACCGCAGCGATTACCTCACCCTTGATAATATGCCAATATTGCTAATAAAACAAAGGAGTCATATTGTCCGGACCCGGAGCTTTACATGGCTGCATCTCAAAAATAGCCCGACGTATTTCTTCTTCAAATGGTTGCCGGAGCAATAAATGATTCATTTCGGGAGAAACGCGAGATGGAATGTGCCGAAGAAAATGGTCAATTCCGATAGGAAGATTAGAATGAAAGAGAGCCTGAAAATAACTTAGAAACAGATTCTGAATCTGAGACTCTTCCTCAATCCATATGCCATTGGAATCCTTAATCCTAGAAATATGGTTTCGCTGTCGTCTACGAGCCGTAGAGGCATGAAAGAATTTCGAATTACGATCCCCCAACCTGAGCCAGTTAATCCGAGATTTCTGAAACCAATGCAACTCTTTTTGCCGCCACAAAGAATCCAACTGGTGTTCTACAAGCAACACCTAGGCATGATCATAGTTCGCTGTATTTTCTTTCAAATGTTTTAACCTGATTTTATTGTGATCAATCTGTGTCCTGAAATTAAATTTTGTAGTCCTAGCCCATTTCAATAAAGCTTTCTTACAGGACTTGATTTTTTCTGACCACCGATACATACAGGAGCCATAGATAGACACCCTCCACGCATCTCGAATAATATCAGCACACGAAGGCTCCGAGACCTACCTAGCATCAAACCGGAATTGGCAAGCTTTATGAGAAAAAACCGGTGCTAGTTGAAGAAACAAAACGTAGTGATCAGACCAAGCAACTGTTAGATGACGCAAACAAACTTTTGGGAACAACCTACACCACAGTTTAGTAGCTAAGGCACGATCCAATCTTTGTAGCAGTGTCCCTCAACCTCATTGTTGCCTCACAGCCGCAAGGAATAGGTGACATCGCCATGGTGGCACCACCAACCAACCCAATAACCAAAAGACAGAAAATACAAAAAAAGGGGAAGCCGAGACTCAACCACTCAGCCAAACCGAAGCAAAGGATCAAAATTAAAGAGCAGCGGCGCCAGCAAAAAAAAATCCACAGGATCTCATCTAAAACAAACCCCACACCCACCACCAACCATAATTGGAGGCAGCCGCAGAAACCAAGGCCCAAAAGTAACCTCGAATCACCACCTAAGAGCAAATCTTGCTAAGACAACTCACTTTCCGTAAGACGACGAACACTTGCACAACACCCACACTCAGCAACACCACCTTTTTCCCCCTCATATGCCAAATTGATGAACAATATGAGGACCGAAGATGGTTACCCAAACCCGAAAAACAAGAATCCCCCAAATCGGCACACGAAACAACAGAGGCTAACAAAGGGAAATGAATAACATCCAAACCAGGGAACAAAAAGGAATCAAAGGATGAGAAAAAGAAAAGGAAATGGATTGAGAGACAAGCTCCCAAAAATTCACTGCAACCAACAGAGAAACTCTCCAAAATGAAGAAAAGCTCCTATGAAAAGGAGAAAAAGTGTTCTTTCCAGAATTTGGTCAATTTTGTTAAAGGAAAAAAAAAAAAAAATCCATTGTTACATTGATTTGCAATTGAATCGTCCCAAGATAAGAAATACTCACATTTACGCGCATTACACACACGCCAAACTTCTAAAACTCTAAAGAGTTGACTTGGACAACTTTTCAAGAAGTTTTACATTTTAATTTAAATTAAATTACAATAAAGTAAAGGAGGATATTTTTAAATGCTAAATCCAAAAACGTCTTTCGCAGCACCGGTACCTCTATGGGCCTCAATTGATAGAGCTGAATCGGTCTCTCAAGAAATCTGGAACAGTCCTTAAAAAGAATGCTGCCTGTCCTGTCGCCGTGCCATCGCCTTCACCTGTCTTACAAGTGATTGCAAAGTTCTCACAGTTGTTGGTAACGACGTGGTATTCACCAAAACCATCATCAAGAAAAGTTTGAGCGCGTGAAAGGACATCAATGGGTGCATCAGAAGCCTTACGGGTACAGGTCCCTCGTCGTTTTAATTTATAGAAGGTCCATGAGACGTCATACTGATACCGGTAGAGTTCACCGTCAGAAAGGAAGCAATCAATGCAGGAAGATATGACACCATCAAGCTTTGAGTGATACCCGCAACTTGGGCATGGGTTGTCGGAGGAGGTAAATTTCTCAGCTGATTTATCCAATTTTGGTATGCCACTCTCCTGATCCGCAGCCCGAGTGAAGTGGATCACCCTCTCCTGAGCTGCATTATATATCCCTGTTGTCCATGGTAGACATGTTACCAAAACTGCGGGTAATACTTTCCACACACACACACACATATATATATAATTGATATGGTGAGCTAATTGATGAAATATTATAATACACTAGTTGATTATAATACCAAAACTCAGCAATCCATCACTAGCCTTTCTCGATCTCTCATCAACCCGTGAAGGAATTAAGACGTGTTGGAAAAAAAACAGGTGCATAATAAAGAGAGAGAGAGACTTGAGAAAGTAGGGATAAACAGGAAACAATGGAAAAGTCTCTACTTCCCAAGAAATTTCATTATACCTTCAAATGGTAAGAAATTTCATTACACAATCAGCGTCTTCTATGTTGGAGATTGCATAATATGAATATATATAGTTGATTGTTATATAACTTTTATGCATCCAAAACTCCACGCCACACCAATCAAAACAATTATAAAATCTAAAACTTCATTCTAGAATATGGAATCACAAATTAGATTGAGGATGTGTTTGTTTCCGTAGAACTGTAACTTTGGAATTAGAATTTGTGAAATTAAAGAAAAGTTATTAATAAAATTGAACAAAAATTTTATACAATTCTATAAATTTCAATTACAAGGCTCCTATTTCACGCAGCGAAAAACAATCAAGCCAATCATAGAAGAACTAATGGATCAAACATGCATTAATTGGGGAAAATACATGTAATATTATACAGTAACTCAAATCAACAAATGAGAAAAGGAAACCAAAAAGAAAATGAGAGGGAAATACATGTAATATTATACAGTAATTCAAATCAACAAATGAGCAAAGGAAACCGAAAAGAAAATGAGACAAGAATTGAAAGCTGGGAAAGGACCGTGATGAGCGTAGAGGCTGCCCTTCCTCCATGAGTATATGTGATCCCCTTCTCTCAGTTTCTCTCTGCTGATCTTGTTACTCCATAGTTCTCTAATCCCCAACCTCTCTCTCTCTCTGTGCTCAGACATTCTCTCTCTATATATTGCCGAAGTGCAGGAGTAGTAATTTTTATAGTTGGTTAATTGGCATATGGCACACGCATAATACGCGTCCGAGGTGAATTACCCAGTCCGAGAAGTTTCCAATCCTCATCTACCAAACTGCACACAGAAATTTTTGCTAGTAGACTAAGTAAAGTCCGAAGAACTTATTAAAAGACGAAAGATTAATATTAAAAATTGTGTTTAATTTATTGCCTTGTACTATGTATGATTCTAGAGTTTATCTATTGATGTCTAAATGTACATGTTCATGAATCATTTTGTCAGAAAAAGGGTGCAAGAAAAAAAAAATAATATATGGCTTGCTGAAAAATCAAGTGAGAGAATATTCAAAGAAGATATGGTTTAAGAAAGGGATTTTTACATATAAATGGAGTTAAGGAGCCATATTTACTCATGGATGGAATCAAAGTCTTATATTTTCACAAAAATGAGTTTGATCTAAATGATGACATGGCACATGAAGTTTTACTATTTAAAATTTTTGTTACCTAAAATGCCCTTCTCCCTATTCCAATGCATTTACCTTATCACCCTTGTTTAGAAAACATTGTACCTGGAGGCCAAAAAGTAGTACCTTCAGTTCAAAAATGTGGTACCTTTAGAACAAAAGTAGTACATTCGTAAAAGGGAATTGTTTTTGCAATTGAAAATGACATTGAACCCCACACCGCTAATTAAGTTGCACATTACAACCATAAACAGCTCCATTAGCGCCATGAATAACACAAATTATTCTTCAAGCTAGCTAAGCGAGTGTTTAGAAAACATGGTACCTGAAGGCCAAAAAGTGGTACCTTCAATTTAAAAACATGGTACCTTTAGAACAAAAGTGGTACCTTCGTAAAAGGAACTTATTTTTGTAATTGAAAATGGTATTAAACCTCACATCGTTAATTAAGTTGCACATTAGATCCATAAACTGCTGTTGAAAAATTTATAAACCTTCTTATTAAATATAAGAGCCTAACATGCATGTATTTATTAAATAGAATAACCAAAATCCATTACTTTTCATTAAATCAAAACCATCAAGTGAAGTACCATGTCTACAAAATACTTTAAGTCACCACAAATATCAAAAAAGTTATGATCCATCCAATCTAATAAAGTCAACAAAAAATAAAAAACTAAATCATTAAATTTAAAGAAAGCAATCATCTTTTGCAAAATAAGAACACAATTATTAAGTTTGAACATTTATTAGCCCCTACTCGTCCATACAAAGTCTTGATTGCAATATTAGCCCCCACTCATCCATACAAAGTCTTGATGGCAAGAATCGATCCTCCAATCACACTGTCAAAAAAAAAAAAAAAAAAAAAACGGGTTACTACATTTAATTGTATCACATTAACGAAAAAATTAACCAACCTTAAAGAAGTAAGCCAAACGGAAAAAGTGAAGAAGAGGAACTGAAAACAGGGACAAATTTTCAAACTCTTAAACAAAATGAAAAAATATAATTAAATGCATAAGATGAGGCATTCTAGAATTTCTAGACTGGGGCATTCCAAAATTTCAATAACACATCAGTATAATTATAATTATATGTAAAGAAAAATATAATTCTAGACTGGGGCATTCTAGAATCTCAATAACATATTAATCTCTTTAAGTTATAATGTATAAGATGTATGTTTGAATTCATGATAATCATTCTATTCTTATCATATAATTAATATATATATATATATATATATATATATATATATATATATATAAGTAGCATCCTACAATTAATTAGGATCCAAATCTATATCAAAATTCTAGATGGTCTTCATGTATAAGAGGTCTAGAGACCAAATTGTCTCCCTATTATCATTGAAAAATTCTAAAGATTTAATTATGACCCAAATCCTTGTATGATTCTAGAGTTTATCTATTGATGTCTACATGTACATGTTCATGAATCATTTTGTCAAAAAAAGGGTGCAAGAAAAAAAAATAATATATGGCTTGCTGAAAAATCAAGTGAGAGAATATTCAAAGAAGATACGATTTAAGAAAATTCAAAGATGGAAAAAAAAAATAATAGATATTGTTACAAGGGAAACTTCTCCCACATCAAATCTAAATTAGAAAATGTAGGAGTATAAATGGGTGAGTATGTAAAACTACCCAACATCTTAAGTTTTGGGTAAATGGACAAGCGTTAACTGGTTACAGTTAGTATTAGAGTTAAACTCAGTCATTGATCCGATGTCACGCCAAGCGTCCGGATGAGCCACTCGGGTTGGCCGGGTGGCCCGACTGCAATGAGGGCATTATGAGTTCGGGTTAAGAAAAATGTTATAAGGGAGAACTTGTTTTACATTCAATCCGGATAGAAAATTATAAGTATAAATGAATAGTTATGCAGCACTACCCAACAGATTAAATTTTTAAATAAATGGATAGACGTCTGCACAATTTATTTTCATTTCTAAGAGTATTTTCAATGGCATCTCCAAATTAGCACCAAATCATGAAACTTCCTAAATCTTTCATACATTAACACAACATTGACCAACTCATGAATCATGATCAAAGAGACTATTGACTAACCATAACAACAAATCAGCTCTCTCTCTCTCTCTCTCTCTCTCTCTCTATATATATATATATATATATATATATATCTAATATTATATATAAATTCCGTCACACCGAAGTCTACATTGCGAGTGTAGACGAGTGGACGCAGAGTCGCGCTGCAGGAAGAAGTGAATGTGTTTGTGTGTGTGTGAGAGAGAGGGAGAGGGGTTCCCTATGTGTGTGAGAGAGAGGGAGGGGTCCCTGTGTGGTGAGGAAGATAGAGAGGTGTGTTTGTGTGTGAGAGAGGGGTCTCTATTAACGCGTTGTCATCCATTATTATGAATGAGATCACCTTAGCACGTGATTGACGAAGTAAGAGTTCGAATAATGACGTCACGGAAAAGGACAAAAAAAAAATTAAAAAGAAATGAATTTCCGAGAATTTGCGTGGATTGATTCCTCTCACATTACATTAGGTCTTTTGCCAAGTTTTTCAGGTGCTGTTCCCATTTTATAATCTATTTTACTTCATAAAAGTGTATTCTATTTGTATTTTTTTATATACACTTTTTGTTAATAATATATAAGTGTCGTTTTGATTTTTAAAAGCACACTTTTTTCACATTGCTTAAAACACCGTCAGTTTTATTTTTAGAATTTTTAAAAAACAAAAAACCCTATTTCTTCCACAAGGTTTGATATCTAACATCACTTTTTAATTATACATTGTCGTCTACACTTGATGGTATTCATTTTTTAGTGTTTTTTTTTTAAAAAAAAATTGTATAAAAGTTGGATTAACAGTTTTCACTCTCTTTTCGGGCAACCAATTGAAAATTATATCAACCAAACAAAGCAATAAGTTTTTTTAGGATTCTATATGTAGCCGTGTCTATGTAACAAATAATTGTATTTGTAGATTTAAAGTTCACAAAATGTCCAAAAAACGTACATCAAAAATTGCTACACCAACATTGGAGCCTCTTGTAGAGCAAGAGAGTCCCTCATCTACACTCGAAAGGCCTATACAACTGGAGAAATTCTCTTTTATATATATAAAAAAATAAATGATAATGTTTTTGATGAGTCACAAATTTTGAATTGATGTAAAATAATATTAAAAAAATCTAAAGAGATATATATATATATATCACTTTTGAGAAAATATATCACTTTTTGAAATTCAATGATGAGTTAGGTCTTTTGAAATTAATTAACCAGCAATAAAACCTATATGTAACAAAAACACTACTCTAAGATTTAGACTAGACATGGAGTCAATTTCTATTTTGCAAGATTTCTTAATTAACAATAATTCTTCTTGGACTTGATGTTAATTGAAAACTAACATTTATTTTGATGAGTCGTTTAATATTTATTCAAAGAGTTAGACTCTCACTCAAAATACTCTTAAATATTTATATAACTTTTTTATTTTTTAAACATGTCTCTCCACTTCCAACTGTATTATTTAGTTTTCTCTCTACTTAACTCTAAACTAATGAATTTTAAAATTTTATCTTCTAATGGCAAATCATGAAATTTTTTTATTTATTTTTGTAAAATAGTTATCATTTTTCTAATTATTTAATTTAAAATTAAAAAAAGAATGTTCCTAACTGCTGCAGCTTGTACCCAACAATGTGCTCTTTGGAAAGAGACTGTGCCCATTTGCCGGTTGTCAAGAAGTTTGTGTTCTTGAAAAAATTGTAAATGGTAATACAATTATTTAGAAAAAATAAAAATATTAAAGATAAATATATTTATATTATACCATCAGTTTTACTTTTAGAATTTTTAAAAAACAAAATAGTTTTCCTTTACACTTTTTGGTAATAATAATAATATATATTGAAAGGGTCGTTTCCGTTTTAAAAAACGTATATGTTGCTTTCGGTTACGCAGTTTTCTCATTACATACGTGCTTAAGACGACGTCAGTTTTATTTGAAGAATATTTATAAGAAAAAAATTTAATTTTTCTTTTTGTTTCTATTCTTTTTTTTAAAAAAAAAAAAAAAAAAAAATTAAATACTTCATGTTTTCCCATAGTTTCGAAACAATAGTAATCAAATCGACATGTCTTCTTCTTTTATATCTACTCGGTTGTTGGGGTTTGAAGAACATTATATAATCCACGGATTGGATCTTGCCTCTCTCATTCTACCTCTCTCGCTTTTTCTACCCATCTTTCTTTCAACATTTACTATCTAACTCAATATTTTTTGTTGAAGCGCATAAGGCTACATTTTGGCTAAAGGTATGTTTCAATATGTATTTTGTATTATTTATTTTTTGTTTTTGAGGAAACCGTGTTTGAAAAAGTCTTTCCTATTTTGTTTCTTAATTATCTGAAGTTTGTTGCCCATAATCCAAATTCATCATGGTGTGCTAATATGCTTATTGTTTAATATGTGTGTGTATATATGCTACACTATCCGAAAAATACACTATACTATCTGAAGAATACAGATCATGAATTCCCTATCATGTATGCTCTCGGTTAAGAATTCTACTTATATATATATATTATCGATTGAACAAAAATCAGAGACAAATTTCCTTTTTTTCAAAAAAAAATAAAAAGAAAGAAAAAAACAACTGG